ATAGGTCAAAAATGTTTGTTATTTCAAGTGGCATAACATGAAACACATTTTTGTGCTTGCGTCACCCACAGCTGGGCCTCAGAGAACAGGGCAAAGTCAATGTGTGTCATGGTTCTTTTAGTGTCTGTTTTGTCCCCATTTACCAGGTGTCTGCTGTTTGGGGAGAGAGGGGACACTTTCATCCCTGAAGGAACACACACAAGCAGGGACGCACACCTGTGAGAAAGACGCACACACTTGGCGATCAATGAACAACAGTGAGTGGGACATAACAGGAGCAAGTCGGACCTGTCAATCACCGCCAGCCTCCAGCCACGAAAAACACAAGACGGTCAGATTTGCAGACTCTAGCCCTGGCCAGCACATTATCTGCCTATCCAGTTACAGACTTTCGCACCTCGGCATGACTAATTGGTTTGCCTGCCCGTCAATCAGAAGGAGACCTGTTTGATTTTATGATTATCTGAACATTTTTCATATTACCAAAATAAACAGCTGTGAATTTGTGCTGTATACATCAGTGTGGGGGAAGCTGTGAGTACTGGGGCAGTGTCAACTTCCATATGGTACAACAAACACAAGGCACCACATTTTAAAATAAACTTGAATAAGAGACGGGCAGAAGCAGGCAGAGCTTCCACGGATAGAGACAGTTTATTAGCACTGAATGACTGAGACTGGGGCTGGTGCTTTGTGTGGGCCATCCCCCCCGACCCAGAAATGGTTTAAGGGGTAAAAAAATGGATGAATGGATGGATTGAGACTGTACTAATTAAAAATGTATTTATAGTCATAATACATATACAATGTGGACATTATTTGTAATATATTTAATAAACACTGCAGCAGTTTCACAGTTGATTTTGAGTTTTTGGTCTTCTGAACAAGGCTTCCTGAAAACGTATAACCCTGGAAACCCTTGCTGGGTGCTTTCTTTCAAAATAAAAAAATGTCTAGGTTGTCGAAGAATAATTCAGTCTGAAACAGTTGAAAAACGTGTTCCAAAAAGCTGGTGATGGATTTGAAATGCAAAGATTGTAGCTTACAGAGACAACAAAAGTTACCTCCCCCATGATAGCAATAAAGGCTGTGTTGTGTTATGGGAAATAGCCATAGTGTAAGATTAAGAATGTGCATTACAACAACCAATCTGGAAAAGTAATCCACAACACATAAATAAGCAGAACTAGGTTGGCCTTGTGCAGCGGTAGTCTATAAAACATAATACAAACTGTAGACATGAGAAAACAATGAAAAAGCCACTCGAACTGCTTTGCTTCAAACCAGGTGTCAAGGGCCTCAACAGACGAATGGCTCTGGCCCAGATCCAACCAGATGTGGCTATCATCACTAGCTCAGACCATACTGGAGACATATGGGCCGACTTCTCACAAAGCATGCTGGGAAAGTGATTTGTTTCGGACTTTCATTGGAATATAGTGTAAATTCTTGAGCTAATCTCCCATTCTCGGGTTTCGAAGGATTGCGGCAAAGCGGTCCGTACAAGGCGCAGATTCAACAAATAGAGCTGCATAAGAGACTGTGGAACAACATCTGCTGAGAAAGGGAGATAAGTAAAACAAAGAGACCAGCTGTGATCTAAAACAATGAAGCAGAGTAAGTGGATGTCATCACATATGTCTGACAACACCCTGCCGTTTTTGATTCACGACAAAGTTATCCGCAAATGTGTTCTGCCCAATGTGTTTTCTTTTATCTTGTTAAGAAATTCAATTGCAATGAAAAGTAAAACTAATGATAATTTCAAGACAGAAGCGCCACCACCCATTTTAACAGACGCAAATGTTAGCAACTTGGCCTTTGAGTTTTACATTGGAAAGTAACAGTTGTTCAGAGAGAAAAGTGGTCTATTCTGCTTGCCATAACACCCACAGAAATGTCCCAAAGTTTAACATTTGGTTCTAAATTACACCAAACAACAGTAGTCATTGATAGTTATTTTTAGAAAGTATACGTTCATTCAGAGCGTAAATTAAATAAAGTCTATCTTCTAATCCTAAATTAAGTTCGTGTTGCTTCATTTAAATTCCTATTAGTCTAATTAAAATACAATTTAGCGCCTTCCAGAGGTCATCATTCAGCTCTTAATGCACCCATGCACACTGCCTCTCCTCCTCCATAAAAAGGCCCATTGCACGGGTTAGTGAACATGTCTGGAGTGCTGCTAAGGGATCTTCACACCCCGAAGAAACAGTTGACCACCACAATAATCACAACAAATAGATTGCTCCATCAGAAACCGTGCCTCTAAAAACGATTGTTTTCCGAATCCCAAGTTTGCCTGACAAAATGACAATTGACCTTGGCCCAAAAACACTTCTAGAAAGACACACAACCTCTCATTGAACCCCTGGGAGCACATATCACGGGGCTCGCCAGTGGAACTAATAGCCCTCTTCCTGAAAGCACCTCTAATAGCAGCTGCAAGAGTTGTGCATGTCGAACAAGGGGATGCATTGGACGAACTCTTTGCGTTTAGAAGCATGAGTGAGCGAGGGTCATGCTTGTCTGTTTCGCTATTTATTACTACACACTGCACTCTCCGGGCTGGACCAGTTCACAGCTGGAAGTGGGGCTTGTAAGGAAGGGAAAGCGCTACAAGACAAGAATGATCGCAGCAGACACTGTGTCTCGGAGACACCTGGTTTACACATGAGCACAAAGCGTGGCAGTTATGGTTCCCAACACTTCAAAGGTGTCAAAATGGGCTGTTGAATGTAGCAAAAAGAATAAGGGGAAGTTCAAGTGGTTTACGATACTGGACAAACAGTTGTACTCATTGCTATAGATGTTCGAGCAATTGTTTCTATAGGTTTGGTTTGATGAGGGAATGTGATTGCCTGGAGAAAACCCACCCCACACATGGAGAGAGCACAGACTCCAGGCATAAAAGGCTATGCAAAGTACTCAGCCACAATGTCACCGCTGTAGTTGAATGATAATTACAGGTTGACAACATTTGAATTGACAATTGAATAAGAGTCAAACTGGTGGGACCCATCTTCAGTGCTTATACATATGCAGCTGTAATGTATAAAAAGCAACCTAACACAGATTTTGAAGATCATTTCAGATGGACCCATAGAGTGTTGATGTTGGACAAACCGAGCGAACTTCCCCCTTAACCCTGGCCTCAACAAATTGAAGTAGTCAAAGATATAAACACAATGCTGAGAGCAGAGCCGTGCTGGTTGTCAGGAGGCGTGACAGTGTCCAGCAGACCAGACAGGGGGCTCTGCTTATGAGACTGTCCAGCTTCACTTAGTCGCTCCATATCTCCCTATGGTCTGGTCTGGTCCATGTGATCCTATCCAGGTACTTCTGCCTATTCTCTGTCCCCGTACGTGAACAAACAAGCACGAATAAGTGAGGGACACACACCCATATACAGCCAGACTAGAGGCGTCGCCATGTCACATAGTTGCTTAGTGAGAATTGTGAAAAGAAACACGGTTTGTGATGACGAAGCGGTATTATCAAGTTTGTGACATGCTTCCCAAATGGTCGGTGATGTGACATAAACAGTCTGATGCAAACACATTTGAATGGTATTTTAGTATGTTGAATTATAAAAAGCTCACATGTATATACTGTGTAGTTTTACTGAATTTTCTCATTTGTGGAACGGATAAAAGATCTTGTATCTTATGTATATTGTGACCAGAATAATGATAACAACAAACAACTGAGGATATCAGCTAAAATGGGACGTTAAGCGGTGAGGCATTATTGCAATAAGTGTTGTTGCACTAGGCTTCATTTTCCCACCAATGACAAGTGTTTTCCAACATATTCCCGGCGTGAATGACAGACACAGCAGTTTGCCTCTCTCCATATGCCTGGGATACAACAGATGCACATGTCTTCCTTACCTAGTTTCTTCTGCTCTGCTTGCCATGTGGAAAAACTGATTACTATCGGGGTAAATGACAGCTGAGGAAGTTCACATATGGAGCCAATCACACTCCTGAGGTTTATTTATCTGCTGGAGGTAGCGCCTTTTTGATCTTGACAAAAAGGAGAAAAAAAGTTTCCGCCATTATAATCATCAAATCCAGGTGTTTGGCGAGATCTAACGTTTGCCAAGAGTGAAATTGAGATCCAAATAATGACAGCGAGAGGCAGAAGCATTTTCGCTTTGTTGTTATTGGCTAGTGGTAATGCTAAGGTTTGAGAGCCATCTGTTTTCAACCAGAATGCAAACTACAGTCAAATCACATCATAAAAAAAGTACACATGAAATCCTTTTACAGTTAATAAGGTTGCATCTGTGAACAACATCCCCCTCAACATGAACAAATCTACTTTAAAGATGCTAGATGGAAGATATAAGAGATAGATGTATGCAATTGAGAATTAATACAGAATGACCAATAGTCTTGATGATCCACCTCGATGTAGCCTATATACCTTTAAGTTACTTAAATTGACTGCATCAAAGCAATAAACAACATTATAGAACACAGTGTGAGGTTTAACGAGGAAATGCGACTGTATATCCAAACATACACTTGATGAGGAGCATAAAGAAGTGTATTATAAGCAATCTTCTCACGTTGTTATTAGTTGATAAGACTAAGGAACAGAATGAGGCACCATCTGCACATGACTGAGGCTCTAGAGAACAGACAAACCCGCAAGCTCATCCAACCGATCCATCTTTAAGAGCAGCACAATCTTTACAATTAAAAGGCATACATATATATTCATTGTGTTTTGTGTGTGTGTGCTTTGTGCCCCCGGCAATATGGAAATAACATGGCAATAAACGGGTACATTGATTGATGTAAGAGGATTTTTTCACTTCCGGGTGGATCATCACGACTATTGGTCCTATCCATTGTCAATCAAACTGGTGATACGTGCTCGTCAATTATGACCAGAGTTTAGTTCAAAAAGTGAAGAGGGCAATTCTTTCCTAAAATTCGGTAAAATCCTCCTGTATAGAATTAACTCCCAAAAGCCGTCTTGTTTCTTACCTCCTCTCTAGCAGAGTCCACTCTTCAGACCTGGGTGTAAAAACAGCTGCGGCGGTCGGCTCGTCTCTTCTCCCGTTCCTTTTCTGTGACTCCACGCCTTCATATGTCAGGCATGTGTTTGCATTCCCACATATGCGCTCTCCAGTCTTAGCCAGAGACCCAGATGGCACCCAGATGGAGACAAAAGCAAAGATACCCCGGTCCTTGGTACGTCTATGCACCAAACAATCTCCTTTTCTCGGTTTCGGACAGTCCTTCACGAACACAAATAGACTTCTCGCTTTTGCTTGTCCACTCGCTTGTTGTTCTCTTTAGACTGGCATCCTCTGTGTGTCTCGGAGCTCGTGCGGTGTGTGTCTCTGAGCTCGCGCTGCAGACGTCTACAGTGTTGCGGCTCTGGCTCCGCCCCTTTTCCCACTGCCTTGTTGTTGATGGGCCGGGCGTGCGCGTGATGTCACTGAACTCACGTAGTCCCACCCCCCGCAGCGGAAGGAGTCTGAGTGCAGGCTCGGAGCTGCGCTGACACGGCCGCACTGTCATGACCATAGATTGTAAACATTGACAGACGTAGTCACAACTATCTCCGCTGTTGATAATAATGTTCCACCACTTTTGCCTTCTGTGGGATTTTTCAAAATGGCCGCAAGGCAGGAAAATGTGTAAAAACACATTTGTGCATGCATAGCCAGCATTTGCCCCATTCATTTAACTAGTGCATTCAAAAGTCCACAGCAGCTAAACTAGACTGGTCAAAAAAAAAACACAGCATTGACAGCATCCGGAACGTAACGTTGGGCACAGAGCGACTTTTGGACCATTCTGTAAAGATATTTTTGAGAGAAAAAAAGGCGTCAAACAAAAGCATTGGGTAAATCTGCCCTCTCCCCTTTTTGAACATAACTCTCTGGTCTTATTTGACGAGCACGTATTACCACCTGAAAGTAGAAAATATTTTAGGGAAAATAATATTTCCCTAAAATAATATAAACAATGAATAAACACATGGGATAAAATGAAATTACAAGTACTCCATGCATGAAAAAAACAGTTTTATTTTCAAATGACAAACCACAGATGCAAAATATATATATAATTAGAAATATATTAAACTTTTGGCTCCTGACCACCTGTCATGTTTGAAATTCAGCCTCCAACCAAAATAATTTTGACACCCCTGCTGTTAGACTAAGCAATGCCCAATGCATATGATTCTATTTTTTTTAACCTTTTTTGACAGCGGTTTACCGACTGTCGAATGCTTCCCCTTCATCTGGCAACCCTGAAATCTCCCCACTTTGAGACAAATACAAGCAAATCAGTGAAAATGGGACATCTGAGAGGGGATCTCCTGGTGCAGCTCTATGCCTGCAGAAACGTGGCATCTTTTTCTATTCAAACCTGTGCTTTCTCATGGACCCAGCAATTAACATAACTAATTGCTTTGGCACCTAAAGGCTAAACAAGGGGCTGTGCCAAAGGGGACAAAAGCGTGTGCACATGCAGACCCACCCCAACCCCCCACGGAAAAATCTTGAAATGTTTTGATTCTGGCCTTGTTACAGCTTCTTTTGTTATACTTTTCATTTTTATGCTGTTTTTTGTGTATGAATGCATCCCTCCAACTAAACCATTGGAACACAGACAGTTCCTGGTGATGACTAAAGTTAGTTATTTTTTCAAGTGGTATGTGGAGAACTACGGAATGTGGTCTGTCTTGCTGAAATATTTATGAAATCCTGGCAGTTTGACTTTTAAATCGGGAGTTTAGTAAAAATGGCTGCTATTTGTTGAGGGGTAAACAAGACATTAATCTGGTTTTAATTAGGCGGGAGCACAGTAAAAAGCATGGATGTGTGAGATTCTGCAGGCACTTGGCTCTGTAAACAAACACCGCTAAATTCATTAGGAGCAGACACACTTGGGAAGACCTTTTGTTTTCAGACACACTTTTAATTAAGTCTTTGCTAATATTAAATACAAGGGCAAAACACGGCCACACCGAGGGTACACAGTCAGAGATGTTAGAAGTCAGAAGTCTATTGATTGGAACCATGCATGTATATTATTGCTTTCCAGATACACTGTCATTGTTCATGTCTTTTAGCCTCTTTTTATATGTAACAGTCATAGAGTCTGTCTGGTTTGACTTACATTGATAGACCATATTCCCTCGCTAAGGCTACAATACATACAATACAGCCTACTTTTACCGTACATTTGATAGTAGCCTTGAATTGGCTTCTAGATTAATATTAAGAGATCCTTTTTTGTTCCATAGTCGGGCATTTTTGCGTCACAAGTTACAGAACAGTAGGAAAGAGGAACATACAACACAAGATACATGAATAATAACTAAAAATATACTAAAATAATAATAATAAAACACATCTCTCACTCTGGCATAAAAAGAAGCAGTTTAAAATCTCAATCTTTAGCATAATGAAGGAAGAAGTCTTAAATAAAAAACCCTGACTTTAGCAACTTGAGCAAATATAAAATGCTGTGTATATATAGTGCATATACTATAGTTGTGTGTATACATCTGTATATGTTAGAATGTAGTCTTGTTTGATTTGCCACTTAATATGTTGCCAAATCTTATCGTTTCACAAGACTCCTCAATGCACCGTGATGCCAATTCAATATAACTTTATCTCATTTACACCAGACAAATCCTGCCCACCCCCGTACATGCAACATGGCTGTGTGTTTCGGGAATACATTTCTAGGTCATTATCTATGTTCCTCCAAAGATCAGATCTGACTAAATAATCACAGCTAATATCCTGTCCCTATCTATCCCTCTCTGCTCTCTGGCTTGCCCTATTCAGCGTGCATCTAGTCAGGCAGCAGGCTCAGAGGAAGGCCAGGTGGCTGAGGGCTGTGAGGGGGGCCGTGAGGGGGGCAGCAGGGAAGGGCCCGATTCTAGTTGTGTTGTGCATCCGATGTTGTGTACGCGCAGACTGGGATCCACGCGCTATAGAGTCGTGATCTGAAAATGACACCGGTGCTGGACGAAAGCCAAGCGAGCGGGGCTGATTTCAACTGTGGGCAAAGCAGGCAGCGCCATAGGGCCATTCCTGGTTAAGTGCCCCTTCCCGGTATAGAGCGGGATAAAAATACTGGAGGTCAAATTGGAATGGCTGCTCCTGGGTTGAGAATAGATTGAAGTGAACAATTGCAGAGATTAATACACTTTTCAACTAGAGGAAATGCCAAAGCAAATATTGATGTTTTGTGATTAAGGAAGATATGATGAACAAAATGAGATGTATTCAAGTAAATGTAAGTTACTTTTCAAACTGAAAAGAGATGTTTGGAAGACAAGCACGGATTAGCCCGGCCCATGCTCACTTCCTGATTGGTCAAATTTCGTTCAATTAAGCCCCCGTTGCATCTGGCAGTATTAACAGAGCTCATTTCAACACTGGGTTTGAGTATAAAAGCCAAATTATCTATATTTTCATAAATTTGTTAGAATATGTCAATCATGCCCAGTGTGAGCGGGTCCCGGCTCTAAAATGTCCATGAGCATGTGCGCTAACATGCTGCAGTCTCACTCCTCCTGTGAGGGTGTACCCGGAAGGAGAATTACCCAATGCTTTTGTATGGCATCTTCTTTCCTCTGGAAAACGTCTTTACAGGATGGTCCAAAAGTCGCTCTTGGTCCAAAGCTACGTTCCAGATGCGGCCAATGCTTAGGAGAGGATTTATTTTTGGACCAGTCTAGTTTTGCCACTGTGGATTTCAGAATGCAGTCGTTAAATGAATGGGGCTTATGCAGTTAACGTATGCGCAAATGCATATTTTTTTTCACATAGTCCTGCCTCGTGGCCATTTTTAAAAAGCCCACAGAAGGCAAAAGTGGTGATACATTAGTTTCAACAGCGGAGATAGGCGTGACTACATGGGTTAGTATTTACAGTCTATGATCAGGCCACATTATTTATAGTCTGTCCATGTGCATGTTTGCTACTGTTAGGCTCCTTGTTGGTCGATTTCTGAACACATGCGATAAGAAATAAGCAGGTTATAAACTTATCAAACCAATTTTAATTGATTTGACCTGAAGTGTTGCATTTTAAATAGTTTTCGAAAAGACTTGTCAAATACTTTGACCACAACTCATTCACTGTACTTCAAGAATGAAAAACGCCATTGCAGTTTTCAGAGGTGGAGCTGCATGAGTTTATCCCTGTGTATGGTAAGCCCCTCACAGCTGTTTGACGCTGTATTCAATGCATGAGTGTGTGAGGGATGCAAAGAAGACCGCACATCTGCTTCTGTTCACACGCTCCCTGCCAAACTTCCACTTTTAGCAAAAGTAAACAGCGTTTGTTTGGGGACCGGGAAAAGAGGAACATGGGATCATAGGACAGGCCCTGGTGACTGGCTCCATGGATCGTTTCTAATCAGAATGTTTGTCATAAATCTCATTCCCACTATAATAATCCGGGTCGTTTATTAACCCCAGTTGCGAGGTAGCTTTTTCTCCATGTTTAGTGTCAACACTCCCACTACAACACCACAACATACATGCAAATACTTTTACCTCGGTACAAATATTTGCATGTATATCCGCCACATATGTATTTTGTGGTGCGGGGGGTGCAGCAACCTGATACATGCTGCATGTGCGGCAACCAATCAGAGAGCAACAAAGTGGTCACAGGGACAATAGCCAGCCAGAGCAAGAGCTAAACCAGGACTAAAGTGTTTATATTTATGATGGCTGTTTAGTATTAGTTATTTGGGCTGCACTTTCTCTGGCCATGCTGGTTGTAGGCTCCCAAATATCAAACAAAGTAGCAAAAATAAATGTACATTATAAGTATATTCATCCATCCATTTTCTACCCTTTAATCCATTTCTGGGTCAGGGGGGTGTCAGTCAGAGATGCCACCCAAGTCACATAGCACCAGCCCCTCACTGACCCTCTGCAGGTGGTGAGTCCACAGGAGGACGGCTGCTCTCTGAGTGTGAGCATAGCCTTGATCTTTCAGTGGGAGCTTTGGGCAAAGTGGGGTTAAGTGTCTTGCCCAAGGACACAACGGCAGCAGTCATCAATGGGAGTCGGTGGAGAAGGTGTAAAGGTGGGAAATGAACCCACGACCTTCAGGCCTGAAGGCCAATGCTCTACCAACTGAGCTACTGTCATTTCTTGGTGAACCTATGGGATATACTGTAGATAGCTATACATTGTGACACGCATGTCTTTCCATGAGTATTTCAATATATAATGTGTCTGTTTGTCGTTCTGCCTGAATTAACTTCTAAGCTGAGAATAAACGCCCAGGTTATTCTAGTGCGCAAAGATCCCGTCCATTGTCTCTCATTTTCTTGACATGTATTTACAGAAGAGACAACTCTACCTCTGAGTAATGCCCGGACATGTCTACAGACCTCATGGTTCTCACCCAACAGAGGGGAAATTCCCTTGAAAAAATCAACAACAGTCAGGCCAGTGCTCAAATAAACTTCAATTCCCACAGATCAAGAATGCCTCTGTAGAAATTGTGTCAAAATGTGATAAGATTAGA